CATGTGTGTAGGAAGGGAGAATATGGGGAATTTCTTACCTCCTTCTTATTTATTTATTTTTGTGTGTGTGTGTGAATTGAACACTGAACTAAAAAATTAAAAATAAAGTCATTTTTCAAAATAATAAAGCTTAAAAAAAACAGAAATTATAATATCTAATCCCATTTCTCCTCAAAGATAAGTAAGTTGGTGGTAAAAACAAAAATAAAACTAAGTAAGACTATAAAAGAGAGAACAAAATTATAATTAATATTAAAAAGAATTAGTAGGGAGAAAAAAACTTCTTTGATCCAAAAATAAGAAACTTGAGACAATGAATCAAGAGCATTTATCATATTCCAAATCAAATAAATATAGAAAGAATATGATATGCATTTAAAAATAGCTTGGTGGGTTTTGTTTAAAAATTTATTCCAAGAGATCTAGGAAAAATATTAAAAGCATAAAAAATACAAATTATTAAACAGGTTACTCATAAAGGAATAAAAGCAGGTTAGCTAAAATATTCTTCTCCAAAATATATTAATCAGTTGATTCTACAGAGCATTTATAGAACTAAGTAGCTACCCATGAATTTCATAGGGAAGATAACTATAGGACATGTTTATATAAGGAAGAATTAATAAATTCTTCCTCTACTCTGCTACATTTTAAGATCAAACCAATCAAAGGGCAGATCACTTAGACATTCATCAAAATTAAGAACTCCAAAATGTAGAAGTTGTGACTTAAAAGAACTGATGTTGAGCTCTGAAATCAGATATACCTAAACAATTAATTTCCCTTGGTCACAAAATGAAATGGCAAAAAAATAAAAAAAAAAAGAGAGATAATATGTTCATAGCTTTTAGAATCCAAGTTAAAATAATAAAGTATAAAAAAAGTGTAGGGACATTTCAAAATTTTCACAAGCAAGTCTAAAATAAAGATGTTTTCCTATTGTGGGGTGGAGGAATACAGTTAGATCCTCAACAAAAGTCTATATACTATATAAATGGTGGATCTCAACAAATACAAATATATAACATGTTTTTGTTAGCGAACACTTAGTGGCATAAATATATACATCAGCAAATAGAATACTATGAATCCTTGAAGAAAATATTTCATAGAATAAAAATAATCTAATCTTTTAAGTTACCGTATAAATTTTATGCAAGTACACTTCAAATCCCAAAGTGTGTGTGTGTGTGTGTGTGTGTGTGTGTGTGTGTTAGGAGAGTCAGAGTAACTTAATTTTTTATATATAATACATGCCATTTTCTTTATTTTTATTTTATACTTGGAAAAGAGGATTTTATTGTGAAGTGTCTTTTGAGATTTAAGTGCTCTAGTTACCACAATGAGTATTTATATTCAAAGCAAATATTCTCTAAGATACCAAGGTATTCAGTTTATTTGGATCTTATACATTAACACATTATAACTTACAAAGCTTAAGACAAGCAAAAACAAGTCAATAAAATTGCAATTTAGAATTCCAACATTTTCCATGGTATCATTGACTATGAAATGCAAAAAAAAAAACTATAAATGTTAAAGTGAAATGATCTCTAAAAAGTACACTAGTATGATTAAACAAATGATCACATACTGTGGAAGACTACAGAACATAAGTACAGAAAGCTGTTCTCCAAGACTTGAAAAATTATTTGATCCATCATTTTAGATGAGGGAAAAAAAAAAGTATGGATTAGAAGACTCTACCTATAAATGAAAAAATTCTAATTAAAATATCTTAAGACTATTTTAGATGTTTATTTGACATTGGAAAGGTGGTCAACTATCATAAAGTACTTCTCTTCATCACAAAACCCCGGATATTAGGATTTACACAATCCAGGGAAACACCTAGACACATTTATATTTTTTGCCTGAGCAAGTAAATTTCTAAAAAAGAAACTCCAAAGTCTTGACAAGAGGTGTCATATTCGGCAATGCAATGCTTGAGTTCTTCAACACAGTGCTCATCTATTTCGTGTAAATTCTGTCTCAATGCAAACTGTGTGGACTTTTCTAATGACGGATCTCTTTCAATCAATATTTTCACAACTATTTCAAAAGTTTCTCAGTCTTGTCAGTAAACCTGTTTAATCTCTTTTGTCTTTGATGCAATTGATTTAGAGTGACTATTTAGCTGACTGTCTTCAAATAAATTCTATGCTGTCTGTTGCATTGGACTCCGGTTCTTCTGGCTGTTCAATGAAAAATGGTACTATGGATACTAAGAAATTTCAGGTAAATTATTTTAATCTGCCTTCTCTAGTTTTTCAGCAGCCTACTTGCTTGCAGCCTCCGCAAATGCCTTTTCAGTTAGCCTACTGCGTTTGTGTAACACCTTTGATGAAGGAACTGTTGGAGAACTTGATGCTTGCAAAAACTGAACAGGTCTCTTTATATCTAACTGATGGAAAGAGTAAGTTTTGCTTCTCTGTGGAGAGTAGTTTCTCCTACTGACACTGGAGCCAGATCTGTTGTGTGAAGAATCTTTTCTGCCTACAGGTGAGTCTCTGGAAAAAAAGGGGGGGGGGTGAGTTTCTCTTTTATGAGGAGACTAGTCTTTACATAATGGGAAGTGTAGAAACTTTTTCCTTTAAAGCTATCTCTTATGTCTCTGTATTTAAGCTGACAACTTCCAGAATGATCATCTCTTGTCCACTTATAGCTAGATCATCTCCTTTGTGAAGTGGACCACTGCTTCGATCATGAGAAAACCTGTGGCCCTTGTCATAGTCTCAGTAATCAACATGACTGTAATATCTATTGTAGCTTCCTTCACCAGGTCTGTCTAGCAGTAGTGGTTTCTTTGGCACGATATTAACTATTCTGTGGTAGCCATCACTGAGGTGATTTCGAGGAGGTGCTCATTCTTTTGAAAGCTTTTCATAGCCTTATCCTCCCTGAGACCACATTTCATCTCTTCTGTAGCCATAACTCTGGGCCACTGGGAGACTCTGTAATGTGGCAGTCTCCTCACCACTGTTCTCCAGGTAGGCTAATATGTGTCATTAAAACATTGTGCTATGTTTATTTCATTATTTGACAGGATGTATTTGTGGTTTCCCAAGTAGAATGTCAGTTCCAACAATGCAAGGACTTAAATCAGGTTTATTTATCTCTCTATCCTCATTGCTTAGAACAGTACCTGGAACAGGTAGGTACTCAATAAATATATTTTCATTAAAGGATCATATGAATATACCATTTTAATAATTATTGAGTAATGATTACTTGATATCTAGGATTCTGATAATTTTTTTCTTATTATGAGCAATTATGTCATGAACATTTGTATAAGTAAATATGTGCATCCTATATTTGTTTTCTAAGATTTGAGAATCAAAAGATATGATCATTTTTATGGTTTCTGATTTTCCTTTATTGGTATGAGCTCTTTTTTACAATAAAGTGACCACTGTCTAAATCATGTTAAAATGTGAGATTTCCCAGTTTGTGACTCATTCTTCAATTTTGATTTAAATGTTTTTCCTTTTTTGTTTAACATGCAAAATTAAAATTTTCTATGGTTAGATTGATAGATCTTTCTTTATATGGTTTCTGACTTCACCGTCACTTTTAGAAAGTTTTTCAGTAGACTTGAAAAATATTCACCTATTATTTTCTTTCTATATTCAATGTTTTTAAAAAGAAAAAAATACAATATATTATAGCTGGAATTTACTTCGGAATAAGCTGTGAGATGGGGCTGTTATTGTTTCTCCTCTCCACTGGCTACCCAGTTGTCCTCCTTTTAATAATTCATCCTTTCTCCACTGATATGGATGTAAAATTGTAAGATGCCATTGCTTTTATATTAAAAGCACACCCGCTACCACCGTACACACACATCTTTTCCTCCTCCTCCTTTTAATAAACAATAAACAAAATTTTGGAGCTGAGTCAATGCTATCTATGAGCCAATATTCCTAAGGAACAGAGATATATTTTTTATTGCCATGACTTGTAACTAATTTAATATCGGTTTCCCAGTGATTTGGTATTAGCACTCATGTAATACAGGGTACACCTTGTAAGGGAGAGACGACATACATTTGCCCAAACCCCATCACAACACAATTTCAGAAAGTCAATCCGCTCAAGACGAATTTGATCATCACTTTGAATAAAGGTTCCCTTCTAGAAGATGGAGCATGGCGCGTCAGGGTTCTGTCTGAAAGCCCTCCGAATGCTGCGCTCCAGGGGGGAGAAGGCCACAGAAGAACCCCTGGTAGGCTCAGTCAGATGCAGGCAGAGGGACTCTGCCCCAAGAGTCCTTGGAGCTGATGAAAACAGGTAGTAGGGTCTTCTTAATTTTTCAACTAAGGTCTCGATTTTTAAAGGTATACCCTGAGTGATTTAGAAAGGACCTACAGAAAACGACTTGTGGTTGTTTTGCGTCCTTAGAAAAGCAACATGCTTAATTCCTAAGTGCCAGAGAGTAGTTCGTAGTCATGGTGGCGAGCGGGAGGGAAGGGAAGAGCGGGGTTTTCTCCGCGGACCTCCCGTTTAAATGCCTGCTTAAGCGGTCCGCAGGACCTTCGCGTTCACTGGGCCGAACTTCTCTCATAGATTTTACCCAGAACGCCGGCGCGGGAGGCAGAGGTAGGTGTCCTGCTGGGAACGCCCCGCACCGCGAACCTCCGAGTAAGTCCCCCTGGCAGGCGAGGCTCTAGCCCAGTGAGAAGAGCCCCAGATCGGGACCTTCGTGTGGAGCGGGACACTGGCTGCCATCTCGGAGGGTCAGATGCAGCACGCGTCAGTTATATTTCCTAGAAACATCTTCGTCCGACCGCCCCTCACTCAGGCCGCATCGCCCACCTCTCTCCGACGACCTCCTCCTCCCTAGCCGCCACACTTGGCCCAGTAGGACCGAGCCGTCTCCCTAGTAACCGTCTCTCATGACCGCCGGAAGCAGCAAACCACGTGTCCCATAAACTTCCGGATTTGCAACGTGACTTCCGGTTGTCAATTTCTCCAGACCCGGCGGCGGGGGAGGGGGAGGAGGAGGAGGAAGGAGAGTCTGGCCAGGAGTCGCCGCGGCCCCGGCGGTGGTGGGCTCCGGCTGGGCCTGCCTCATCCTGCCCGTCTGCGATGCATCCGCGGCGCCCGGACGGGTTCGATGGCTTGGGCTATCGAGGGAGTGCGCGGGATGAGCGGGGTTTTGGCGTCGCTTTCCCTGCAAGGTCCTTCAGCGCCGGGTCGGACCTGGGCCACTGGGTGACCACTCCCCCAGACATTCCGGGTAGCCGCAACCTGCACTGGGGCGAGAAGACCCCGCCCTACGGCGTGCCCGCCCCCTCCACCCCCGAGGGGCCGGCGGAGGAGGCCTTCCCCGGCCGCGGCGGCGGGGTGCCGGCGCAGAGCAGCGGTGAGGGCCGCGGGCCGCGGGCCGTGGGTGGTGGGTGGAGTGGCGGGCGGCCGCGCGCGGCCTGCAGACCCCGGAAGCCGCGCGGAGGATCCGGCCTTCGGGGCCTCTAGGTCTTTCGCGTGCCCCACCCTGTGTCCTCCCCGCGTCCTCTGCCCTTGAAGCAGGCCTCCTCCTCCCTCACCCCAGTGTCTGCTTGGGGATCGCTTCCCCCAAAGACACCTGTCTTAGCTAATTAAATGACCGCGGTATTTTTCGTAATTAATTGTAGCTTTGTGTTCTGCCAAGAGATTTTCAGTATAGGCAGGCTGGGGCTTCCACCTGGCTCTACCACTCCTAAAAGTCAACTTTGTAAACGTCTGAGAGCCCTCGGTTTGGTCATCTTTAATTGAACAGAGGAATAACAGGGGTTTTTAAGTGTTAAATAAAATGAGATGTGAGGAATGCGTAGTACAGTATGGAGCACATAGTAGGGTAAAAATATGTTTCCTTCCTTTTACCCTTTTATTCGTAGGAGTTGTGTCTGTGTTCTAGATCTGAAATACCCCCTGGCATTAAACTCCTTTTTGGTAGAAGGGAACATGTTTATACTTTTCTATTTTCTTCTGTTAACACTTAAATTTCAAATTGAACCTCGTTCATATTCAGTGAAGTACATTGAGAAATTGTAATCTTATTCTTTTTTATTTTTAAGGGGCTAAAGTAACACTTATCTACTTACATATATTTTAGATCCTAAATTCATACACCCCATGGGAGCTCTATAAAGATTTATGTAATTGAGAAATATACCCACCTTCTGTTTTCCTTTTTCTAACCTAAATATTCCACTACCAAACAAAAATCACTAATCCAATTTCAAGATAAGGCTTTCAATGCAAGACATAATTATTTTCTGTAGAATGTCAGAAGACCTGTCTTAATTGCAATGCTGTGTGATTTAGATATTCTCAACTTCTTTTTTTACTCATAAAATGGAAATAATGGCTACCTCTTCCCATTCTCCTGCAATTGTTAGAATAGTAGAATATATCATTAAATATAAATGCACGTATATTTATCATTAAATATGAAATATAAGTATGTTTCAGACATCAGTTTTATTCTTATTTCTTCTATTTTGACTTGGAGGTACAATAATATTTGGGTTAAATAGGAGGAATAGAGTTTAAATATAGTCTGGTGAGCAGATGATGTGGAGGGATACCAGTGATTTAGTGTCATACAATTAGCTTGTACACTCTGTCTGGTTTTTTTTCTGTTGGCCCCAAAAGGAATACTGGAAAGTTATAAATGAAATCGTTCAAAATGCGTATGTGGCTGCTACACCGTTACCTTCTTAGTCAGTAAAGCTTAGGTTGGCTTTTCATAATTTATGCTTTGATGGTTATAATGAGGAGGAGCTCTGAATGAAACTAGGATTTTTGTTTGTTTGTTTGTTTAGGAGCAGTAAGAGGCTAGTGAATCTAACTTTGCTAGGAGGATAGAAACCGGAGAGCCTAACAAAGTTAACAATAGTAAATTTTTCTATACCTTCCAGAAAATATATTTTATTTTAATATTAGGGTATGATCTGTACACACAAAAAGGGGAAAGCTGAAAGAAGGAAAACACCTTAACTTGGGCAAAAAAAGCTTCTATCTCACTTGTATGTGTTTCAAAATAAAGGTAACCAAGTAATTTCCTCAGGGACATGTTTACATGGCCTTGTTCTGACTGTAAGGCAACAGTGAGGACATTGCTTCATTTAAAAGAGCAGAGATGGGAGATGGAACAAGAGAGGGAAAAGAGGATGAGAGAAAATTATCCCTTGTAAATATGATTTTGAGATTTTTTTTTTTAGTCAAGGAGAGAAAATTTCTTGTTTTGATATATGCATAGGAATGTTTCCAGCTGTAAGCTTTTGTAACAAGACTGTAGAAATGCCATTACCAGTAGCACATATGCACCCAGTAGTCTATCACAGAGACCTAATTATGCGGCTACTCTCAAAATATTTAAAGTTTGGGGAGCTAGAAAAAAAGAGAACCTTATTTTACCCATTTTGATAACTCTAAATAATCTTTAAATTTAATAACTTTGTGGTATTTTACTTGTGACTGTTGGGTTAACAAAGATGCCCTCCACCACTAACAGCAAATGACTAATTTTACAACATGGGAGGTAAAGTTGTTGTATCAGTTAGAGCCTTCTACAGAAAATAATTTATGTTGTTGGTAGTCAGAAATTGAAAATTGGTAGCTCTTAGATTCTACCTGAAAACATGTTTGTTTGATTTGGCACACAAAATGTTTTAACACTTTTTAAAATAGTTGCCAGTATTTTTTAATTGGAAGATACTACATAAAAATGAGAATATATTTTTAGAAAAAAATCACAGCTGAGAAACCCTGAGCCCACAGTCCCACGTTGCAACAATGAATTGGAGCTGAAGAGCAGTTGTGCAGTGCAACTTGCCACAAGCCCCAGCAGAGTCCTTCACTCATTCAGATGACACCCCTAGCACCTATCAGAACAGGCTTTGGGACTTGGAGTTTAAATGAATACCATGTTAATAAACGAAAGTTTTTTTGTTGTTGTTTTTACAGTAAATCTAAATATTGTTTATGAGTAATCTTATTTCTTCTATTTTAGAACAGTTGAGTAGATTTGCTGGATTTGGTATTGGGCTTGCAAGGTAATGTTTTATCTAAATATTTTTAATTTAAGTTTTGATTTATAGTTTTCAACGTTATGGTAAATGATTAGTAGTACTCCCTTTAGATTGATGCTTTGTAGCAGTAGATTAAATATTGAATAATATTTTGCAGAAAAAAATTATTTAAAATTTATAAGATTATTTTTTTTCCAGTAAGGATAAAGAATAGTCATTGAATTTTATAATCACAAAATAATATGGTAAGGAATATTGTAACACTTTTCATGTGTCTATCCAAAAGATAAATCTAATCCCTTCCCCTCCAAAACACAAGAAATTTTACATAGAATCTTCTTCCTAAAAATTTGAATTACATAACAAGATATTTAGCCACATAGAGTCTAGTTTTGGTTACAATCAGCATTTAATGAACATTATTATTATTTTTTATTTTTCATGATTATTTTGTATTAAAAAAGCCTCTAGTATTGATTATGTAATCTTTAGTGAATATTTTAAAAAATACTGGAATTGCACAAAGGCTAGAATAACTCACTGTTTTTAAACATTTTAATCAAGAAAAATGATCTTATTTATATGACTAAACTTGAGGATGTTAATGTCAATAGAAATAAAATTTGTGTATTAAGGTTTTCTTTCTGATATAGTTAATTTTTCTTTAGCCTCACTGTTTATACTTAAAGCTATTGTCATCTGTTATATTATTTTCATATGTACATGTATGTGTGTGTGTGTGCATGCACATCCATGCAGGTATGTGTCACTGTTAGAACTTAAGCCACAGTTGTAATTAGTTTGTGGGAGATGTTTTCAGAAGAACTATTTTATACATAGAATACTAGTCAATTAATGTGGTCATTGAAATGCCTATAACTTAAGTACAAAGTACATCAAAACCAACATTTACAGAATGAGTTTCATAAAAAATAGATGACTTCTGATGGGAACTTTGTGCATAAGACACTGAAAGAAATGGAAAGGCATATTTAAATTGTCTAGGAAAGGAGTTTCTGATATTCAATATACAAAAATGTAGTTTCATCTTTATATTGTACATGTTAGTATTAGATATTGTTTCCCTTGCCTATCATTTTGCAGATCTGACTTTAATTCTTTTCATATTGAATTTTGTTGTTGGTACGATGATTTGCCAACATGACATTTTTTTAAATTTTTTTTTTTTTTTTTAGTTTTAAGAAACAAAATAATGCATGATTCTTCAAGCAAAAGTAATTTTAGATATGTATGTTATAAATTAAATTTAGACTATATGATATATATATTTATAAATTATTCTTATATAGTCTCTTTACAGAAAATGTACTGGCTCATCCTTGCATTGTTCTGCGCCGCCAGTGTCAGGTAAATGTGCTTTCTGTGACCTTCTAAACAATAATCCTAACCCTGATTTGAAGTACAGAACTCAAATAAATGGATGAGATCATGTAACCATTATTCCATGTGAAGTATACCAAAATCTATAATTTGTCAAATTCCCAGTTTTTTGGTCTTTGAAACCTGTTAAGTCTTAAAAAGCAAGGTTTCCAAAGAACCTTTGTTTAATGGGTTATATCTATTAATAGTTAGCATCTCAAAAATCAGAACTGGGAAAAAATTTTATATATATTCATTAAAACAATAAACCTATTAAATATTAACATTTTTATGAAAAAGAAACATTTTATTTTCTTTTCAGATATCTTTAATGTCTGGCATAATAGAAGACAGCCTAATTTTCATATCTGTTTCTGCAGTCTGTCTTTTGCACTACATTGTGTTTGGAAAAAAACAAGAATGTCTAACCTTATACACATATGTATTTGAAAATGAGAATATTTTATATTTTATTTTAGATAATTGGCAGACACTCTTATTTGATACTACATCTAAACTCAATAGTAATAATTTCTTAAAGCTTATTTGTATTGTGAAATCTGAAACCACGTCCATTAACTTTTTACACTCTTTTACATTAAAATCTAGTGATTTTGTACTGCATGTTGAATGGATTTTTTACCCATACATGGTTCTGTTACATCATGCATTGATTAATTGAAAAATATTGACTTACTGAGTTAATATAAGTCTTCTGAAAGTTATAGAATCTTTTGATTATACAGTATCAAAAAAACCATCATCATTAAAATCACTACCAGTCTCACGGAGAAGTATTTCAGTATTGGTGATGGTGGATACGGGTTTTCCAGAATTCTAATTTTTGCTTGTATATTCAGATATATCATTCACAACAAATACTATCTCATTTTTTTTCCCCAATCAGTAAGCTCACTTTGTTCATTTTTAAATTCATGTCTGTCCTAAGTGTGAATAACTATAGTCTGTCAGTTTTTCTAGAAGAAATGATATTCTATGAAAAAGTGGTTAGTTCAGCCTGCATTAGACAAGTGCTTTTCCAACAGCCACCTTCCTTCATGATGTAACACCTTAATTAGAAAAATGATGTATATCCAAGGGGTCAAGATTTTATGAAATTGATATATTTTACTGCTTCAGCAAGGACAGTTTTGTGTAAGTAGCTTTTTCCTCCTTGCAAGTGAATGGATGAAGAATATAAGTAGTACAGAAATATAGTTTGGTGCTACTGTCTTGATCACTATTTTTGCACTATTATTGAAAATGTCAACACAAAAATAATTTTGAATTTGTAATTTCCCTTAAAGACCTTCAGGAGTCAGTGGACCACACTGTGGCAAAAACTTCTATAATATAACATATTTTCATCGAAAATTGAGTTAGAAAAGATGTAAAGAATTACAAATTAACCTATTCATGTTTAGCACCCCCCAAAAAAATGTATTTAGAGAAATAGAGAAATAGACATTTAAAAAGCATAAATAGCCCTGGCCGGTTTGGCTCAGCGGTTAGAGCGCCCGCCTGCGGTCCAGAGAGACCCGGGTTCGGTTCCCGCTAAGGGCATGTACCTCGGTTGCAGTTTGTCCCCGGCCCTGGTTGGTCGTGAGGGTGGCAGCCACTCGATGTGTCCCTTTCGCATCGATGTTTTTCTCTCTCTCTCTTCCTCTCTCTTCCTCCCACTCTATCTGTACAAAAAATGGAAAAATGTCCTCGGGTGAGGATAAAAAAAAAAAAAAAAGCATAAATAGCTGTGTATACCCCAAAACAGTGAATTTCAGACATAGGTTTTTAAAATAAATTTTGATACTATTACACTGTGATCTAGCATATACATATATGTGTAATTTTAAAAAACATTTTATGAAATAATACCTTTGGAATATGTGATGCATCCTAATACTTAAAAAAAATTATTTCACTTAGTATTAGTTTTGACCCCCTTTACTAATTTTATGATTTACTAATTATTTGAAAAATACTAGCCATTGGGAGACACATATCTCCTGTTCCCTGAGTTCTCTGTGGTTCTTTTTTTTTTATCCTCACCCGAGGATATTTTTCCATTTTTTGTACAGATAGAGTGGGAGGGAAAGAGAGGAAGGGAGAGAGAGAGAAACATCGACGTGAAGGGACACATCAAGTGGCTGCCACCCGCACGACCAACCAGGGCCGGGGACAAACTGCAACCGAAGTACGTGCCCTTAGCGGGAACCGAACCCGGGTCTCTCTGGACCGCAGGCTGACGCTCTAACCGCTGAGCCAAACTGGCCAGGGCTCTCTGTGGTTCTTGTGTGTTAAAAAGCATGAATGTTTTGCCACACTGAATATAATTCGACTGTTTAAGGAAACAAATGTTACACAAAAAGGCATTATTATATATTCTACATTACTGTACATATTGTGCATTGGTCTTCAGGGTTGTATTTATAAAACCGTACGTACTTTATTTTTAATAAGTTATTTAAAGCACTTTCAAGAATAATTTTGCTTATGTGTAATTTATGCTGACTTTAGAATTGAACTTTTCTTTATACTGTGACTCCACTTTGTATCTTTCGTTTCCTTGTTATTTCTTACAAAACAATAATAGAAAATAATCATGAAATATCTTTTTTACAGGTCAATTACCATGCTCGGCATTATCATCTCACTCCATTTACAGTTATCAATATTATGTACAGCTTCAACAAAACTCAGGTAAGAATTAGTCTATAGATTTTACCATTAAAGTTATTGTAATATGTGTCATTTGGCCTAAGTAATAATTAAAGCAACAGTAATTCCTTATAAGTTAGTAAAAATATCTTAACTTTTGTACTAAAACTAATGTAACATGATAAGGACATCTTTACAGTGTCACTGAATAATCAGTGAATTTACACCATTGCCAAAATTAATTATTAGGGGTATTTAATCAGTATTAGAGATAATTAATTGGAATATTCATCTTGGCCAACACATAGGATACCTGACAAATATTAATATTAGAAATAATTTAGTTGTAGTTCTCTACAAAAATGTCCTTTGAATAATGCCTCATTGGAAAGATCAGTAAACATTCAATATCCAGTTTTATTAAGACATTTTTGTGTTTCTTATTTAGGCATTAATGAAATAACAATAAATTTTGTTCATTTTAGGGACCAAGGGCCCTTTGGAAAGGAATGGGAAGTACATTTATTGTCCAAGGAGTCACACTTGGAGCAGAGGGAATAATCAGTGAATTTACACCTTTACCAAGGTACCTTTTTGGCATTTTCTCAATCTTAGTGTCATATTAAAAATATGATAGTTTCTAATAATTACCTTGAATTTGAAAACTTGACTTTCCTGAAGTAGCTAAGAGAAGAAACAGAAAATAAATTTAATTGAAATCTTATTGAAGTTGTATGTGATAAAGAAAATGCTTCCTGGTGTACTGTCTATCGAGGTATGTCTTTCAGCTCTTACTGCTATGTGTCAGCAGCTGTCAGTAAGGAACAAACATGAGTATGAACAATTCCTGCTGTTTAAATAGCCAGTTTGGTAAAGGAGATGTAAGAAAATCACAGTACATTGTGATTAGTGCTATAAGTAAACAAACCCCTTTCAGAGCCTAAGAGATACTTTGCATAGAGTTATTGTCAGGATTTCAAAAAAGAACTGAAATCTGATCTAGATCTTGAATAATGAGTAGGAACTGACTTGGCAGAGAAGGAGAGGATTCTGACTAGAGGTGACAGCATGCCCTTTAGAAGTTGGAAGGTCTGGGTAATAAGTGTCTTATGTTTGAGAATAGTAGGCATGTATGGGGTGAAACAACAGGAGAGGAGGCTGAGGTGCTAGACTGAAACATGGCAGTGCCTTTGTAAAAATGAAACTTTTTTTGGTCCCTTTTAAAAAAAATATATGGATGATTTGATCAAGGATATACTCAAGTGGCGGTGTAAAAAAAAAAGGGGCTGGTGTGGATGGAAACTTGTGCAGAACTGTTATAGTAATATAGTAATCTAGGCCAGACAGAGAAGGATCTGAACTATGGAACAGAACAGAAAGGGATGAGCTGGAGAGATATTTCTGAAGTATGATTGATAATTAGTGATAGATTGGGAATGGGCATATTGGAGAATGAATTGTCACCAGTGACAGATTTCTAGATGGAATCAAGTTGAAGAATTAATAAAGAAGAAGTTAGAATGGGAAAGAAGATAAGGAATGTAACCTTCAGTAGGTGATGTTTGAGATTCCTGCGGCACATCTGGGGGGACATGTCTAATAAGTGGTTGGAACTGTGGGTCAGAGTTTTAGACAAAATTGGAATCTGGAGGCATAATTTTGAATGTAGTGGCATAAATGGTAACAGTTGAAACATTAGGATAGATGAATTTCTCTCAGGAGATAGTGTAGACTAAATGACAGAAAGTGGACCAGGCACTGAATCCTTGGCAATGTGTGAGTGTACATGTGTGTGCCATGTATATGTGTGTATTGGGAGAGGTACCTGAGGGGAGTGGTAAGAGATGATCATAAAACAAATTGAAAGTAGCAGCAAACTATAGGACATAGTGTCATTGAATCCAAGAGAGGTGAATTGGAGTTGTTAGATACATTTGAAGGGAGAGGGTAGAGAAATTGGGTAAATTTACTTCTGTGTCTATTTTCTCCCTGAAATAGGATACAAGGTCATTAGGTGAAAGAAGAATGAGGGTCTATGTAGAAAAGCATGAAAAGAATGATATACGTTGGGGACAGTCACAACTATGTGTAACAGAAAAGGAACCCTACTAAGAATATGTGAAACGAATGTTAATAGGTAATATTGGAAAGCATAAATTTGTGTAAGTGCTATTTGGTAGGAATCTGATTTTTCTCTATCAACACACTAACCCAGGGATAGCATTAAAGACGTTGAACGTTTTTTTAATCCAAAGGTGGCCCTTGGCAGGGTGAATTTTTTGGATCGACAAGGAAGTGAGATAATTGCAGGTACAACCAACTAGCATCTCAATCTTGGGACTGAAATGAAGACAGGACAGACTGATATCGGGCTTTTTGCCAATGTTTGCTTTCAAAGGACCTTTTAGTCTTAAAGTTCTTTTGACACAACTTTGCTTAATGTCATAAACAAAACATTTGGCCCGCAAAAAGTTTCCCATCGTACTTTAAAAATCTGGATTTCTGACATTGGCTAACGTTATTCACTTTATTGCTTTCTATATCACAAGATAAAATGAAAAGTTAGTACTTGTCATCAAATGTTCTTGAAATTCAACCAGAAACACAAAATTCTATAAAACTTTAACAGATTTCAGTAATTTCTGTATGGTAAATTGTAAAGAATTCTGTATTTGCAGTCAGAATACCATGGGTCTTGGCTACACCACTTTTCATTTCTGGGACCTTCGGCAAGTAATGCCGCCTCTCAAGCACAGGTGAAATAGAGACTTTATTCCAGTTTGAGGGGGAGGAAAAAGGAAATGGGAATGGGTAGGCATAAATTTTGTTAAATTTTTCTAACTTTCTTATTCTGTAGACATGCAGATGTGCCAGATTGTGTGGGTTTGTATTTTCTCTTGGTCATTTTGAATCTTATTAAAGAAGACATAAAGGTTATCTTTGTTATATTCTATCTGGGTAATTTGGCATTAAGTCCCACTCATTTATTTATTTATTTAGCTAATGTTTGCTGAGTTCTTACTATGCTTTAGGTCCTGTACTAGAAATTGGGTGTTCAATGAGGAGAAGAAACAAGAGGTACCTGTGACTAAGAAGCTTAGAATCTAGTATAAGGGACATATATTAAGTAAAATAAGCCCAGTAATTAATAATTAAATACCAACTGAGATTTGTTCTCTGAATGAAAAGAATATCATTCTGTGGGAGTATTAAAGGGTTAGGAATAGTGTCAATAATAAAATGGCACTTAAGCTATGATCCAAGTGGTGTTTAGGAGTCACAGACCAGTTTGTGTACAGACGGTGTGCAGAGGGCACATGGAGAATTCAGTAACTGAAAGAGGCTCCCGGCTAGAGCTTAGACAGCAGTGTGGAGAGTAGTGTGAGTGCTGAAGAAGTAGGTAAGAGCCAAATGGTAGCGAGGACCAGGATAGTGTCCTCTGTGATGGATGTAAATGGATGGTTTTGAAATATGTTTAGGTAAAATTGATGGAACTTGGTGAATGGATTAGGGATGGTAGGTGATAGAGAAGGAGGTATCAAGGATAACTTCTAGGATTTTAGCTTGTGTGGCTGGATATAAAATAAAGTAATTCTCTGAACTACAGTGTAAACACCCCCACCCCAATTCTTTCTTCTTTGGGCAGGGTTGATCTTTCTTAGGGGAAAGAAAAGTCATAGCCCGTAAGGCAGGAAAGCAGTAGTAACGAGCAATTCACAGAAGTTACCATGTGAGGAGAATGAGCTCTGGGGTCTCCTAGACTGAGTTCCTTAATTGCACAGTGCTCACTAGGTACAGCAGGTGAGACAGTATGACCAGTATTTAGTTTAGTACTGTTACATTTTTTAAAAAGTGTATATAACCTAGGATCATCATATGTGATCTCTGTCTTTACCTACTATCCAGACCCCTCCCATATCTTTTCCCTAACCTTCCCCAGGTGGAGTGAGTTAGACTGTGTGTTGCTCTCCTCTGAAGTACCCTTTACTTTTTTTCATTTGGCATTTCTCCTACCAGTACCATAAGGAGCACCTAGAACCAACGCTATCAATGTAGTTCAGTTTCTCACAGAAACTATTTGGTTGAACTTCAGCTTAGTTTGACTCAGCTTACATTTGTAGTTGACCAGCATGAGCATCTCACAGCTGTCTTCTCACGTTGTCTTTTCCTAAGGACTCCTCTGAATTCACTGACTTGAAACACATTTTATCTTAAACACAGTGGAATCCTTCTCCCACTCAATAGATTTCCTTTCTGATTAACTGTTCCTAAGTGTATGTTATGTGCTTTGTCCTTGAGTCATCTCCTACTCATGGCAACCCTGTGAATAAGTGTACGTAATATCCTGTCCTCAACAGCTCTGTTCAGCCCTGGTACACATGCTTATGACTTCTTTTATGGAGTCGGTCCATCTCATATTTGGTCTTCCTCTTTTCTTGCTGCCTTCTAATTTTCCCAGCATATTGTCCTTTCCAGAGAACCGTGCCTTCTCAGGAACTTCTCAACTGAAGTTGTGCCACTTTTGCCTCAAGCAATATTCCAGGTTTAATTTGCTGTAGGACCCACTTGTTCGTCTTGCTGGTGGTCCAGGGTCTCTAGAGCTCTCCTTCAACACCATATTTCAATCAATCCATTTTTTTTCCTATCAGTCTTCTTCACTGTCCAGCTTTCACATTCATGCATGGTAATTGAGAATACAGGGGTGTGTTGATCTTAGCGTTGGCCTCTAATGACACGTCTTTGCTCTTGATGATCTTTTCTAATTCTTCCATTGCTGCCCTTCCAAGTCTCAGCCTTCTCTTTATTTCTTGGCTGCAGTCTCCATTTGAATTGGTGACTGAACCAAGTAAGCAGAATCCTAACCCTGAAAGAGTAAGAGTAGGAAAGAAAGATCATAGTTTGATTTGGGACAAGGTCATTTTCAGGTGCTTTGCTATATCAAGGTGGAGTTGCCAGTAGACAGGTGCTATATAAGGTTGACATGTAGAGAAGTCTGAACTGAAGATAATATAGATTTGGGAGGGGAGTTTGAAGCCATCCTCTTGGATGAGATTGCCTAGAGAAGGAATATCACATATAAAGTAAGAGAAAAGAGGGCCTGAGCCTCTAGGAACTCCAAATGGGGTACTGGTTTAAGAAAAAGGCTCCTGCAAGGAGACAAAAGTACAGACCAGAAGTGAGGAGAAAAACCAGAGGAGTCTGGGCTGGTGGAGTACAGGGTAGGAGGACTGCTGACGGAGGAAGGACCATGAATGTCTGATGGCTGCTGAAAGGACACTGAAGGTGGCAACTAAAAAGTGTCCATTGGGTATAGTGACATGTTGGAATAATTGGGTCGAAACCAATTTGGAGTGGGTTTAGAGGTGAGTGGGGAGTTAGGACATGGAAGCAACAAGCTTAGAGAGTTGGTTCTGACAAGAGAGGAAAAGAAGTAGCTGGAAGATGAGAGGTTTAGGTTGGGTTGAGGGAAGATTTATTTAAGAGGGAAGGTATTTGAGCACGTGAAGTGAGAGGCAATGGAAAGGAAAGACTGCTCAGATACAGATTTATTTAAAAATTCTGTTGTTTTGTGTATAGATTATGCATTAAGTATGTACATTTGTCTATCAAATGGAAAACTTGAGAAGATCAAGTCACTTCTCTGTTTTGTTGCTTATTTGAAGGGCTGTTTTTGCTTGTGAAAATAGTGAATTAAATGTGTTTGGACATGTTTTGGTATTTAATAATGAAATATAAAAAGGCTTAATCACAAGTAGAATCTATACTGCCCTCTTTCCTGAAACACTTAATGTGCTAATTTAAATTTCTAGAGGTGTAGCAATAATTTTTACCCATTTTATAAAGGAATAGAGAACAGATACAAAAAAGGTCTTATTTTTTTTATATTGATTCTGAATTTTATTTTTTTCACTTTTACCTTAATAATCTTAATGATTTTAAGACCTGGCAGTACTAATTAGTTTTGTACTCAAAGGGGAGGTGGCCCTGTCCTTTCAGAAACACGTCGCAGACCCATCTGTCCATAATGTTAATGACAGTGTCATGCTTGAAATCAGTGTCATAATAATCTGCTGTAATACTATCTATGGCCATGAAAAGAGTAATAGCAGTGCCCAGATGATTGGCAAACCACGTGGCATATTTTGTTTTATAATCATAAAGTCATTGTCAGTAAGGTCAGAGGCCTATTGTTTTTTTTGTTTTGTTTTGTTTGTTTTTTTTGCATTTTTCATCTTAATCATTGAATGTCATTTCAGCTCTATTTTTCTGTGGTGGGTCAAGCCTGTAGTATTCCAGTATTAATCAGATTGTGACCCAGAAGACTAAGGTCTTATAAATCAGAGAAGGTTATTCTGTTGTCCAAAAATTTATCTGCAGACCTCTCAGTCTCTTAGAAAATTGTAGGAAGGTTCACATACTGCCTATGCTATAATTGTACTGAATTTGTTTTTAGAGCACTTTTGTTATTAGTGATTAATTTTCTTCACCTTTTTAATATAAAATTATTCTTTTATCTCTTTATGTTTGTTACATTCACTTATTTGAGATAGAAAGTGTTTTTCTCAGTTTCCTGCTGTGGCTGTTGTGCAGTGGGTGTCAGTTTCCTGAGGGAACTGTTGGCAGCTAGTCTCCTCTTTATTTTACATGTCCCTGTTTTGCTATTCTCCCTCTCCTTTTTCTCCTCCTCTCTCCCCTCCCCTGTCTGCCTCTTCATTACTCTCCCTTTTGCTCTCCATAGTCTTTTCTCTTTTTTTATTTTCTCTTGATACAACTTTTTCCTTTTTTGTTCTTTCAGCTTGCCTCTCTCTCTTTTTCTTTTCTTCCCTGGTTCCCAAAGAAAACCTGAGTAGCAGGAAGCACACCTATACCTTGGTTTCAGACCTGGTGTTTATTCTATCTCTTTTGAACATGTCCCTGTGACCTTTTTGACCTTTATTTTTCTCATAAGTAGAACAAATTCAGCAATACCAGCTCTGCTTCTCTCCCATGATTTCTTCTTGGATCAGAGAGAGGAGCAGGGCAGAGTGCAGACTTCACGCCACAGAGCCCCGTGTGTTAGAGCCCTGTTACTACTAACACCGCTCTGCGTGCAGCTACTTCGTTTCGTTTGTTCTTATTCTCATTCTAACATACTTTTTAAACCTTTATTTCTCCCTTTATCCTATTCCTTGTTACCCTTTCCTTTTCCCACACAATCTTTTTTCTCAACCTATTGCTTTTATATCTCTTTAATTTGTCATGTTCATTTTTGTAATCAGTTATAACTTCTTCTTCTGTCAGCACATACAAAAATACTTTGTACATTGTTTTTTCTTTTCAAACCACTACCATTTGTTTGAAACGTGTCCCAGAAAGGAAAATGTTCACCATTAGAATATATTTCTCTACAGGTTTTTTTTTAAAAATTAAAACTTGATTATCTTTTTGAAAGTTGGGCCAATTCAAGATGTTTTAAATAACATGGCTTTTGTTTTGCTTAAATTTATTTTTATTTTTTAGGGAGGTTTCACATAAATGGAATCCTAAACATATAGGAGAACACCTTCTGCTGAAATCGTAAGTATGAAAAGTGGTATTTATATTGAAAAATTCTACTAATTTTTACAGTGTTAGAACTGAAAAAATCTAATTAAATAAGTGCACTGTAGGAAATTAGAGCAATGAAATATTTTTGGGAATAGAACTTCAAAAGACAAGTAACATAGGGTTTAGAAATAAAATCGAAATATATTTTCTTTAAATCTTTCTGATTTGAAAGGCTGAAATCAGAACCTAATTTTTCTTTATGTTCTTAGGAAGTTAGCAAAGGTCTTCAACTTTTTAAACCCGAGTTACCAGGAAAATTATTGTTATGATATTATTATTAATCAGAGATACAAATTTATTTGTATGGTGATGAACAAATTCAAAAATGTAATCCTGACCATTTTTGTAGATTAGAATTTTACTCTTCACTTTTTAATTTTTTTTGAAGATTGTGAATTGGAAACCCCCCAGCTTGCTGGCTCCCTCTGTGGGGCGCTCCAGCACATTATTACTTAGTGATGTTCCATTCACCTTGAAAACCACTACTTGCCAGGACCTGGCCCATAGGGTTAGGTAAGTCCCACCCACCTTGATATTATTTTAAATAACTATATTTTGCAGGCTTGCAAAGTTGTAATTTTACTCTGTCTAAATATTAGTGGTAGGAAACAACTTTGCAAAGCTGTACGATATTGTTTTTTAATATTAAAAGGGACTTCACTTACCATTGAAGACTGGCTTAGCTCTGCTGGGTGGGGAATCTGGGAATGGATAATGATAATATAGGAACATAACAAAACAGTATACTTGTTCAGATATCACTAAGAAGGCAAGCAGTGGACTGGATCCCTCACCCTAAATTTTAAGTATCAGTTATAGTCTATATTAACTATGTGCAGGTAGATGTCCAAACAATGAATCATAAACAAGCCTACATTTTATACTGCTTTAAAATAAAATATATTTTCTTTGCAGGCTGTCTCTGTGTTATTTTTAATACTTAATTTTTCATCTCTAATTGTTGAATAAAGATCTATATTACAAGTCTCTGAAGTATCTTTAGACTATAAGTATTAATAGTTGAAAACATTAAAAATATTCAGGCTTGAAAATTATGTTAATGTATTGTAGTAGATATTAAAAAATTTAGTGTAAGCATCTTGTTTCAGTATACTGATAAGTTTGTTTTAATTTCTACAGCCTAACTTATATGGTGGCAATGCCTTTTTATTCAGCAAGTCTAATTGAAACAGTACAGGTGAGCTATTGTCTATAGTCATGTTTTACTTGAAAATATTTTTTGGAATGTTAAGTATATTATTTATGTCTAATGGTATAAAAGAAAAATTTAAGACAGGTATCCTTTTAAAATTTTATTTTGCAGATACACATATATCAAAGATTATATAGTAGCACATTGCAAACTCACTTCAAACTTTTAGTTTTAATTCTTTTACAGCTTCCATAGACAGCTGTACTCTTCATTCAGATGTCTCAGAACCCAGCCTATGACTTGGCTTTATATCCAAAGAATCCAAAGGGCTTTTTTCAACTTTTAAGACCCTTACGCACAACTCAAAATGGTTATGGCTTATCATAGGACAATAAATTACCTAAGCATAAAACATGATAGATAATCATCCTAACAGTGAGCAGGTAGTCTGCATAGTAGTTTACTAACAGCATTCTTTTAAATGTGCCGTTTAAGGAACATTTGATGCTGTGAAATTTTAAGTGCTACCAAGTGTTTTAAATTGTTTTATTATTTCAAACCACATGGTGGCGCCATAAGTACACGGAATTGATAGACTTTCTCACACTTGTAAAACTGGAAGATGAAGAGTTTCACTTCTCTGGCTTGCATATATGCATAGCCCATGGACACTTGCAGCAGTGCCTGAAGGCCGGGGGTGGGGCAGGGCTGCGTGGAGGGAGGCAAAGCAGAGGGAGTGGGGACATCTCACTTACCATCAACAATAAAAAATAAAATACAATTTTTTTAAAAAGATAGTTTTACTTTACCTATACACAAAATCTAACAAATTGTGTATCACTTATCTTCCATCTCCAACATCATACCCTCTGGCATATTTCTGTCTTCAGTATGTCTGAGTTCCTTCTCTATAAAAACCTCACTGTGGATCAGCCTTTCCTCTTCTAATTACTCTTTGCCACTTAATTGCTTTCTTGACCCAGTGTTGATTATTTTTAAATCTATTTCTTCGAATTAGCTTCAGTTAACTGAAGTTAACATCTTGCTACCCCAATATACTTTTCTTCTGCATTTGGCATTGTGTTAAATAAATTATATCATTTTTGTATGAGGCTGCAGCATACAGTTATTACACTATGAAGTATCCCGTATAGATAAGGAAAAAATAGCAGGAAGCTGATTATTTAAGAAAAACAATTAAGCAGCATACATTGGGGGAAACAAGTTTTAGGTTTAGACATACCCATATTAGAATCACATTTCTGTTTAGATCTGTGGCTTTAATCAAATGTCTTAACCTTTCTAAATCTTAACTTTCTCATCCATAAAATGAGAACAGTATTTTAATAACTGAGTTATAAAAATTAAATGAGTTATTTATGTAAAATGTCCAGCTCACTATGTTTGTTTGTTTTTTTAAACCAGTGTCCACCCGTTTTTTTCCTGCTTCAGGTTCTACCTGCAAGTCGCCTCATTTTGATTTATTTTGTCCTGTTTTCTAGGAATCTTTTTTTTCTTAATATATGTATGTTTTTATTGATTTTTTTTAAAGAATGGAGAAAGAGAAACATCAATGTGAGAGAGAGACATTGATTGGCTGCCTCCTGCATGCCTCCTACTGGGAATCGAGCCCACAACCCAGCCTGTGCCCTGACCAGGAATCGAACCGGGACCTCTCAGTCTATGGGATGATGCTCAATCCACTGAGCCACACTGGCCGGGCTCTAGGAATCTTTTTATTTTTTTTCTTAGATTTCTCCTCTTGCACATCTTCCTCTTCCTTTGGTAACCTCTTTACCATCTGTTCTACCGTATTCCCAGGCACAGTCCTTTACTCTGTTTGCTTTTATGCTATATTCACCACCCTGGAGCACGCACGCACTGCCACGAGTCATGCGATTCTGATCTTCATGTGAATTACATCATCTTCACCTCAGACTCAGCTGATAAAAACAGCTCGTCTTATTCCCCTGAAAATAAGCTTCCTTTCGAGCCTCTTCTCCTGTTCTGTTAATGGTACTATTGCTATCTTCAGCCCAAAGACTCAAAACGTTAGTTCTTATTTTTAGGAAAGTCTTAATTTTTATATTTGTTTTATCTTTCATAATCAGTTAGTCATTATGCCTTCTAAGTTCTAAATCCAGCAAGTATCTGAGATTTGTCTGTTTCCCTCCACCAACAGGCAGCTGTTCTCCTCACTTCTTCACCACATACTCAGCTTATTATGTTAGCTTCTTTCTTCCCCCTTCATGTTCAGTGGGTGTGTGCCCTTCTGGGAGCTCTTTGAGAACATTCTTCCCTTGAAAAATACACATTTGTACATAGACCACTTGAAGAACACCTCCTGGATCCCTTAAATATGAACTTCCTAGTGAACTGTTATCTTTATTAACAATCCTTGTTCTAGTCCCTGCATTTCACAGTCTGTCCTACGTAGTCATGTAAGATTAGTGTGCCTCAGCTACGATTCCTGTGTCCTGTTGCTGATTAAGGATCATAGCAACTCATACTCCCTAAGACTTCTCAGCATAGTATTCAGTCAGGGTTTTTATTGACTTCACTTTACCTTTTCAGTTAACCTTCCTTAACTGCTCATTTTTTTTTAACATCATTAAATATTTATTGAGTGGCAACCTATAGCAGGCACCATTATAGACATTGGGGATATAGCAGCAAGCAAAACAGAAAAAATAGTCTGCTTTTACAGCACTTATATTTTTGTGGGGAAGATAAACGTGAACAAAATAAATATAAAGTGTATTAGGTGGTGCTAAGTGCGAAAGAGAACAAAAATAAAGCAAGGAAATTACATAAGATTATGTAATGGCTTGGAAGGATGAGTTACTTTTTTTTAAAAATCCTCACACGAGCCCTGGCCAGTTTGGCTCAGCGGTTAGAGCGTCGGCCTGCGGTCCGGAGAGACCCGGGTTCGGTTCCCGCTAAGGGCATGTACCTCGGTTGTGGTTTGTCCCCAGCCCTGGTTGGGTCATGCAGGTGGCAACCACTCGATGTGTCCCTTTCACGTTGATGTTTCTCTCTCTCTCTCCCCAATCTATCTGAACAAAAAAACGAGAGTAAGTCATTCATCTGGCTATAGGCTTCATAGTCTTGCTAAAACAAGGAAGGCTGGATAAGAAAAGATTTTGAGGTAAGAGAACCATAGAGAGGTGAGCTGACCATTCTTAAATACTGTTTCTCCAAGTCAGTTCTCAGGGCAGAATAAGGGCTGTGCCTTGGTAGACGCCAACTGGTAGGAGACAGAAAAAGTAGGAGGACCTTTGGTGGTCTTCTAAAGCTAGAGAGGCAACACAGCATAATCGATGAGCTTCAAAATGCAGCTAGTTTTTCTCTAGAAGAATTGCCATATTCTAAAGCTATGCAGTGTGGGGAGCTAATAAATATATCGAGAGAAAGGTTTTGAAAATCAAAGCAGCATTTCCAACATAGTTTCAAAACTATGAAAACCACTAGTTCCAACACTCACAAAATATTTCAAAAAGCTTGCAAACAAAAAGAAAAGAACAAGAAAAATACAAAGAAAATGACACCGAGGCATATCATGTTAAAACAACTGCAAACAAAAGATAAAAGTCTTCCAATAAGATCTGTATTAGTTTGCTTGGGCTGCTGTTAAAAAGTATCACAAGCTAGCCCTGGCCAGTTTGGCTCAGCGGTTAAAGCGTCAGCCTGCGGTCCGGAGAGACCTGGGTTCGGTTCCCGCTAAGGGCACGTGCTTCGGTTGCAGTTTGTCCCCGGCCCTGGTTGGTCGTGCGGGTGGCAGCCACTCGATGTGTCCCTTCACGTCGATGTTTCTCACTCTCTCTCCCTTCCTCTCTCTCCCTCCCACTCTATCTGTACAAAAAATGGAAAAAAAATATCCTCGGGTGAGGATAAAAAAAAAAATCCTCACACGAGGATATTATTTCATTGATTTTTTTTAGATAGAGTGGAAGGGAGGGGAGGAGAGAGAGAGAGAGAAACATTAATTGTGAGAGAGACACACTGATTGGCTGCCTTCTGCATGACCCAAACTGTGGCCAGGGATAAAACCTGCAACCCAGGGATGTGCCCTTGACCAGGAATCGAAACTACAACCTTTCAGTCCTTGGGCCAATGCTCTAACCACTGTGCAAAATGAGCCAGAGCACTTTTTTTTTTTTAATCAGGAAAGGCCTCACTGCGAAGGTGACGTTTGAGTCAAGATCTCAGCATAAGAGCTACATAGATACTTGGTAGAAGAACATTCTAAGCAAAGGGAAAGAAAGTGAAAAGGCCCTGAGGTGGGATTGTATTTCATGTGTTTGAGAAGCAAAACAGAGGCCAATAGTTGAAGTTCACTAAACAAGGGGGAGAATAAGAGGACATGAGTTCTGAGAGGTAAGAGGAGGAGAAATTGTATAGGACATTGTAGGTTGTAATAATTTAAGCCGTTACTTTGAGGGAAATGAAAAGTCTGGTGGATTTGAACCGAAGAGTGATGTGATCTAGTGTGTCTTAGGATCTCTTTTGCTGCTGTATTAAAAGTAGTCTTGAGTAGCCCTGGCCAGTTGCTTAGTGGTTAGAGCATCGGCCTGTGGACCAAAGAGTCTCGTGTTCTATTCTGGTCAAGGACACGTACCTCGGTTGTGGTTCTGGCCCTGGCCCTGTCCTTGGTCAGGGTCTTGTGGGAGGTAAGCAATCGATGTCTCTCTCTCACATCCATGTTTCTCTCCCTCCCACTCTATCTGAGGAATGGAAAAATTCTTCAGATAGATGGAAAAATATCCTTGAGTGAGGATTAAAAAAAAAAAAAAAATAGACCAGAGTGGGAAGATTCAGAGACAGGGAAATGGACTAGGTTAGGTGAGCTGTTCTTACTCTCGTGGTTTTAAATAAACTGTAATTACTGAAAACTGACATTTTTATGTCCAGCTTGGAGCTTTTTCTTTTAGTCTAGATTGTAAACTCCAAGTTTAACCTTAGACTTAACATTTTTGAACTCTTAATCTCTCCCCCAAAATGCTACCCCATCTATATTTCCCAACTCAGTAAAAGGCATTGCTATTCCACTTCCTCTGGCCAGCAGCCTCGAAGTTATTCTTAATGGCTGTAATTTTAAGATGGAAGCACAAGTGAAGGACTTTCCTTCCATTACTACCTGGTCATCCAGCCTACTATCATCTCTTTTCTGGATTATGCAGTAACTTTTTAACTGGTTTCTCCGCCTCTCCTCTTGTTCTCTGCCCAACAACCACTGTTAATAAATGATATCTTGTCCATCTTCTGCTTAAAACCAACCAGCTATTTTGCATCTGACTAAAAGCCAAAGTCTACTCAATGGTTTGATTTGGCCCCTGACTACCTTTTTAACCTCATTTTATACATTCTCTTCAGTCATTGCTGTAGCCAAATTGGCATCTTAGCTGTTCCTTTCTGCCTGTGCATGACTCTGACCTGTATCACAAACTGTTGTACATTTCCTCAAAAGGATAAAAGGCAGAGACATTGTAGATGGTAATGACTAACATGTGTTCAGTGTCTTCTGGCTTCCAGGACTTTTTTTATTTAGTACTCCCAGCAACTCTGCATAAAAGGAGATGGTACTAATTCCATTGGTATAGAATGGTAAACTGACTTTCAGAAGTTAAATAACTTGACAGTAATCACATAACCAGTAAGTAATGGAGGCAGGGTTGAAATCCATTTGTAAGAAGTCTAAATACTATACTACCTGTTTGGTATCATGTAGTTATTGCTTTTCAAAATTATTTCTAAGGAGCTTCTTTCTTGAGGGTGGGGAAACCAGGTGTGTCCCCCCCACTTCTTCTCTATTTTTCTTTTTCAATAAAAATAGCTCCCTACCTCACTGCTGTCTGCTTTATGACATTTCATTTGAAAAAGAATCCACCTAGAAACTTTTGAAGTCTGCAAACCATTGATATTTTTCCTCTTTCGTCAGTAAGTTAGGATTTAAAAGTACCTAAAAAGAACCCCTTTTTTTGTGACAAAATAAACAAATAAACTTTCACTCATATCATTTTTATTTTAGAGTGAGATAATTGGAGACAACACTGGAATTCTGGAATGTGTTAAAGAAGGCATCGGAAGAGTGATTGGCATGGGAGTGCCTCACAGCAAACGGCTGCTTCCTCTTCTCTCCTTGATCTTCCCTACGGTGCTGCATGGGGTTCTTCACTACGTCATCAGCTCCATCATTCAGAAGTTTGTCCTACTAATTCTAAAGAGAAAGACTTATGCTAGCCACCCAGCTGAGAGCACTAGCCCGGTGCAGAGTATGTTGGATGCTTATTTTCCAGAACTCATTGCTAACTTTGCTGCCAGTCTTTGCTCTGATGTTATACTTTACCCCTTGGAAACAGTGTTGCACCGCCTTCACATTCAAGGAACACGCACAATAATTGACAATACAGACCTGGGCTATGAAGTGCTTCCAATTAATACCCAGTATGAGGGAATGAGAGACTGCATTAATACCATAAAGCAGGAGGAAGGAATGCTTGGTTTTTATAAAGGGTTTGGTGCTGTTATAATACAGTACACACTGCATGCAGCTGTCCTACAAATTACCAAAATTATTTACTCTACACTTCTTCAAAATAGTGTTTGAGATTTAGTTCCCGATTAGTCTAAAAGACATTATGTTATGAATTAATAAAAGACACTTTGTTATGAAATTGTGAGGAATAAAAGTGAATACGGGAGGGGGGAAATGGATTAGAAAGGAAACTGGTAGAAAAAGCCTATGCTGATTATATTGACTTTTTTTAAGGCATAGGTATCTTTTTTGGATCAAAAGTATTGAATATTTTAAAATTCAATAAAATAACATTCATGAGTTAAATTCTAACTAGTGTAGCACGCATACTGAACTAAAAATGATCTTGGGCAGAAGCAAAAATTTGTCAGCAAACATAAACAAGATTTCACAAAGCTGAATTTACTCCATCTGACTTTAGTATTATATGTTTATTTTACCTTCTTGACTGATAACTGGTATATCATCCTTAATATAGTATATACTATCAAGAGGTCATAGTTTACCTTTAAGCAAATAAATTATGACACCAATGATAATGACAAGAAGGATTAGATTTGGCAATCTGTAATCAGGAATTGAAGTCTTAAATTGTCCCTATATAACGCTTTAATGGCTGCAAACTTATTATATAAAGCCACTATGTACACACACAAAACTTGGAATTTCCTTCATTTCCATAAGTTTTCCACCCTTAGATCAGCTTATTACATAAGATGAAGTCATGCAGTTTCTGCTTGGATATCAAAATGAAACTTAAGAGCCATGGTACCCGAAGATTTAAGGCAAACAGCATACTTGTCTATAGCCAAACGCAGCGCACTTCCGTGCCGCAGCTCCACGTGTGTCATGTTTATATAGACTCGATTTCCTTTTCTGGTTATGTGAATCATCAGGCTGTGTTTAGAGCCACTCTTCACAGAGAAAGAAAATAAATAATCATGACAACTATTACTGTTTCTAAATTTAGAGATTGTGTACTGCGGGGAACGTCACTTGTCTTGCATTTCTGAATGACTCGTCTTAATGAAGACATGGTTAAAATTCACCTGGAATTTGTGCCTCTTGCTTTTTGTATAGACATCATAAAATAATGTCTTCAGTTTTTATTTTCTTCCAGTTTTGTTTATAATTTCATACTCCAAACTAGATAAAGGATAAAGCAAGTCTATCCTTATCGCCTTTTATTTAAACCTGTTTGGATGAATACTGAAGAAAAAATACAAAGGAAGTTTGTCCTTGCTTTTTACTGATGAGGAAAAGAAGTAAATTTCAACATATAATAAGCAAAAATATTGTTAATCAGTTTAATAAAAAAATTCTGTATGTTCCTAAATGAATGGAGCTCTTTGTACAGTAAAATGATACACATCTGACTGACCCATCATTAAACCTTTTCAAGTGTCATTTCCTCCTGTGAGTTGTCACAGTTTTACTATGAACCATTTAGCACACTGAAGTGCAGTGACTCTGCACTGGTGTTTCCTGACCTAGAATACATACAAACCGATTTATTTTACTTGGTGAATATCAGTGAAAGTGGTTTCTTTTTGTAATTAATAGTGTTGGAACCAAAAAGGGTATCCAAGAAGTGTGAAACAATATTTAAGGAGCACCTCTCTCTACTATCTTGTGTTGTATGTTTGTGTGTTTTTGTTTTTGTTTTCAATTACTAAAACATACATTTTCCATTTTTAAATTTCACCAAGAGGGGGAAAAATAAAATTTAACACCACTGATCAGATAAATGTTATGGTAACGCCTTCAGATTATGGTTTATTTTGTCCAACCTTTGGCATTTAAGTTGTATGCATTGCTTTTGGGCTGCTAAGTAAATTGTAAGATGTTTATATGTCAAACTTCCTAAAAAAAAACTTTCATTTTTTATTAAAATCAAGATATTTCAGAGTAGAGTAAACTTCTGAAAATTGCAAGTTTCACAAAATTTCTGGAACAGAATCTGAATGGAATCAAGTATTTACTAGTGAAAATCTATGGGCTCTTTTACCTAGCTAAAAATTAGGTATTTTAAGATTATTTGATGAAAGTTAGCATGAAGATTCAGTTAGAGAACTGTTTAATTATGGAATCACAAGACTGATAGCCTGAACCACACACAAGTAAAGTAGGTCTTATTTTCTGTCTTTTTGGAAGAAGGATACAAATTAACATTAAAACTAAAATTGAAATGTGGCAAAAAAAAATTGACAAGTAAAATACTAATTTTTTTTTTAATCCTCACCTGCGGATGTTTTCATTGATTTTAGAGAGAGATGGAGAGAAACATCAATGTGAGAGAGAAATGTTGATTGGTTGCCTCCCCCGTGCACACCCCACCTGGGGATCTAAACCCACATAGGTAGGTGCCCGGACCAGGAATTGAACCTGCAGTCTTGGTGTACCGGACAACGTTCTAACCAACTGAGCCTCATGGCCAGGGCAAAATATTTTTACTGCCATTCCAAATATAAAAACCTTTAAAATTCAAGCTAAATATGTTTAACTTAAGTACTGGCTAAATATGTTTAACCAAATTTAGAGAGGAATAAGTGAAATTAACGTTGGACATGCTCTCCCTTTTTTAAATTGCTCTATTTAGCTTATTGGTGCCAAAAGCAAATATCCATGCAGTACATTTCTTAAGGTGATAATAGCTCAGAATAATATGTAGTAGTTCAGTATGATTAATAGTTTTATGAATGACATTCCATTAAGCCCTGGCTGGTTTGGCTCAGCAGTTAGAGTAACAGCCTGCAGACCAAAGAGTCTCAGGTTCAATTCCAGTCAAGGGCGGCATGTACCTTGGTTGTGCGGGAGGCAACCAATCGATGTGTCTCTTACATCAATGTTTCTCTCACTCTCTCTCTTCCCCACTCTGTCTGAAAATAAATGGAAAAATATCCTCGGGTGAGGATTTTAAAAAAAAGTTCTACAGGCCCAGTGGTCCTTTTACACAATTCAGTTTTGAGCCATGGAACTGAAGTGTGATATGCTTGCCTTACATTGTACCATTTCTTAATTTGAGTCATAGTAAGAAAGCAATTGAATTAAAAACTGAAACATATGGTAAATATTAATTTACTAAGTGAATTTGTGAATCGATTTGCTAGATCTGTTTATAAATCTCTTTACCACGAGATACCATTTTTGTGGGCCCATGAAAAGTAATTCCTAAATTTATAAAATGTAGTCAAGCCTCTAAACTTCAGCCCAAGATGTTATAAATATGAAAGAGTAAACACTGGCAATTTCAAAGTGGCTAAAATGGCTATGGATTAGGGATTTGATACCTTAGCCAGTGTTTTCAGAAACAAAACTGGAGAGGCAAGAGGTCTTGCTCCCATACCTGACTACTCAGAGCTGGCATTTTAGCCCTGGCTTTGTTACAACTGCACAAAATTGTCACTACTTGGCGGGCACAAATGCTTCATTGTTTCTTAGTGTGTTATTCATACATCTCCTCAGAAAGTAAAACAAAACATGCTGCTTTGATACTCTGCTTTTCCTCTGAGATTCTGGAGGCTGTTTGCTCTCAGTGTGCTTCCTCCCCATGTTTTGACATAAAGGATACTCTGTCAGCTCTTGAGAAGATAGGCAGATCTGAATTATTTTCAATAATTCATAAGCAAATAAAATCCCCTTGGTAACAGTTCACATTGCTCTATAATTTGAGTGATTCTTTGGCATTTCTGCTTTCTCTTCTCTTCCAAATAGTTGTACATTTTGCTCTAATATAGTGTAATATTGTTCTTTTGAGTCATTGAATATCACAGATATGGCACCAAGTTGTATAGCAGAGCAGCAAAAATTTGTAATTTGACATATTACCTCAGCTAGAAGAGGTATTTGTCTGTATGTGTGTTTTGGTGTCTTTTTAAAGTTGTTTCTGTCTCACTGGTGTTCTAAACATCTTCAGTAAATTGTGTAATGTGAAAAGGTTCAATAAAATGTTGAAATAAAAATAGTATTTTTCTCTTACTGATGCTACAGAACTATGCAGGCTGGTGGGATGGGGTTCAAAATGTCACCCCAAAATATGCCATGTTGGCATTTGTTTTCAATTAAAAGTACTTGAGAAACAGCAGTGCAAGGAGGACACTCTGCCCTTCGTTTGCCCCCCTGAAAATGGGTGATAAAGTGCCATGTGGAAGGTACCCTGCTTGTACCAGCAGGGTAGAAGGCACCCTTACCACCAGAGACAAGGAATGGAGGGCTGTGTAAATAAGCCTTGCTAATTCTTCACTATTTACTTCCCCAGGCCCAAACCCCTCTGCCTTGTCAGTTCTTCACAAATGTATCATTTGTCTAAAAGATAATAAAACTTTCTGCTATGTCCACTTCTTTGTGTCATGTTTTATAGGCTTCTATATATACAAATTTAAATTTATTCTTCTCTTGTTAATTTGTCTTAATCAAGTTATTAGACCAGCCAAAGAACCTAGGAAGGAAGGACATTTTCTACATCTACAGTGATAAAAGTTACAGTTTTGTAAGTAGAAACAAATATCAAGAAAAAATATATATATATAAAGTTAAACTGTTTGCCTACTATTAAAACTATCCTTCTGTCTTAGTGATGTTTTTATGAATTTGACTCCAAAGGCAAAGGGAAAAAAGGGGGGAGGGAGGACTACATCAAAACCAAAAAGCTGCACAGTGAAGAAAACTACCAACGAAACAAGTGAACAACAACAACAAAATGTTAGAAGATGTTCCAAATGATATTTCTATAAAGAACTCATACAAGTCTAAAACAACAACAAAAAGAGATTTAAAAAAAAAGGCAGAGAACCAGACATGTTTTCAAGGAAGATAAATAGATGGCCAACAGACACAAGAAAAGATGCTCAACATCACTAATAATTAGGGAAATGAATCAAAAACACAGTAAGAGGTCACCTCACACCTGTTAGAATGGCTGTTACTAAAAAGACAAAAAAATGTTGAAGAGAATGTGAAGAAAATGAACACTTATGCTCTGTTGGTGGGATTTTACATCAGAACAACCACTATGGAAAACAGTATGGAGAATCCTCAAAAACTTAGGAATAGGACTACCATATGATCCAGCAATTCCTCTTCTGGGTATTTACCCAAAGAATATGAGAACACTAACTTGAGAAGATATGTGCACCCCTGTGTTCATTACATCATTATTTATAATAGCCAAGATATGAAAAAACCTAACTGTCCATGGATGGATGATTGGATCAAGAAGATGTGATACAGTATGTAGATTGGATGAGTATGTATTCCCCCCCCCCCGCAAAAAAAAAAAAAAACAGATAAAATTGTAATTTGTGACAATATAGGTGGATCTTGAGGGTATTCCACTAAGTGAAATAAGTCAGACAGAAAAGGGTAAAACTATTTCACTCACACGGAACAAAGAAACAAATGAATAAACAAAGCAAAACAAAAACAAACTCATAGATACAGACAACGGAATGATGGTTACCAGAGGGGAAAGAGAGTGGGGAGGGCAAAATGAGCAAAGAAGTTCAAATATATGGTAGCAGATGGAGACTAGACTATTGCCGGTGAGCATGCACAGTGTATACAGATACTCAATAACATAATTAGTAAGTAAAATACTTCTGATATAACTGTGGTGTGGCTCACAAATCAAGTAACATATTTTCTAATACAAGGTTTCCTTTGCATTGTCTTTTGTAAAAGTCTTACACATTCAAATATTTGATCCTTACAACGGTCCCCAGGCATTTTCTGAGTAGTGTTGTTTAGGGAGAAAATAGATACAGGTGATGGGTGTTGCTTAAAAGTAGTTTAAGGGGACCAGAAAAACCTGTAGCCACCCAGTGGGACTAAAGGGTTGAGACATGCAAAAGACTACCTAAAGACAAGGAAGAAAAGTCAGGGAGCGGGTTTCTATGGCCATTCAGGGCATTAAAATGTGCTCATGAACACTGGGGAATTTAGAAAGAAACACACATGCCCAGGACAGAACGTGTGTGTTCAGTACAAAACTGAAAGACCCTAAACTTTCGCTATTGGATGACCTATAAATTCAAGCAGGAAGTGAAGGGTTAGGCATAGTTAAGCAACTAACTAAATACAAAGTGAGAAAAAATCAAACCTAGGTCTTGTGATGTAGTTCAGGTCTTGTGATATTGATTACTTTGAATTCAAGTTACTTGACAAGCAGCTGGTGCGAGAAGGGCACCTTGACCCTGCCCTGGCTCCTTGAATGCAGGAAACAGATTTCCCATGTGACAAGTGTCCTCCCACTCTAGGAAGACACCCCTTATGCTAAACAACTTAGAGCCAATAAAATCTGTGTAATCAAATCTTACTGCCTATTTTCTAATTTACTATGTTTTTAAATTCCTCATTAAAAAATACCCAAACCTTGTTTATATGCCTTCCTAATGAACATTAACTCTTTCTTGTTTTGTCAGTTTCTCACAAACTTATTGTTTCTTTGTCTAAATAGTATAAAAAGGTACCTAGTTTGATCATTTCTTTGAGCCTCATTTTATGATCTGAGCATCCTATTGTGATTCTCCTGTGAATATTATATTGGTTTTTCTCCTGTTAATCTAGTCTTGTGTCAATTTTACTGTTTTATTATTAGTCCAGCCATAAGAACTAAAGAAGGGAAGAAGTGGAAAATTCTCCCCCTCCTGACAATGTTGTAGTGATATCTGCTCTTTAAAAAAAGAAAAAAAAAGGCTAACACTTATTGAGCGCTTAGTATAATGACCACATCATTAAGAACTTTAATTCAATGTCTCATACATGCCCTACAGCAACCTTGTAAAGCATGTATTGGAGGTATCCTCTTTTGACAAGTGCAGGAACTAAGGCTGAGAGGTTAAGATCATACCTTTGGCAAGTAGCATGCCTATGCTTTAACTCAGGCTTGCTCAATTCTTGCACTTCCAGCTGGTCACCATGCTAACGTTTGTCTTGCTTTAGTGACATCCCACAGAAGGACTAAAGGACACTACTGTTCTCATTAACTGATGAATTGCTTCTCTACTTAATCCGTACTGGTTTCGGAGAGCTCTTTGGTAGGTCCTTGCACCGTCCTCACCATTCCCCTCCCTTCTCTTTCTTTCAGCTTCCATGGCCTCTTATTCTTTCTTATGACATACGGACTTCCTACCTCTTTCTACCTGGTAGTTATCTGTAGCATTTAAATTTTCATAGTATATAAGACATTTT